ATATAGGCTCTTTATCATCCCCAAGTCACCATCTTTTTTTTTTTTTAATTTTTATTTATTTATGATAGTCACAGAGAGAGAGAGAGAGAGAGAGAGGCAGAGACACAGGCAGAGGGAGAAGCAGGCTCCATGCACCGGGAGCCCGATGTGGGATTCGATCCCGGGTTTCCAGGATCGCGCCCTGGGCCAAAGGCAGGCACCAAACCGCTGCACCACCCAGGGATCCCTCCAAGTCACCATCTTTCAACACTCTTCTTCTTTATCCCAAATCCCTGCCCTTTTCTCCTTATTTTCATAGCATTTGTCTATTTATGTATTGTCTTTTTCCCCCCTCATGAACATTAGATCCATGGAGTCAGAAACTTTGGCAAATAGTAGATTGTCTCTAAATATTTGTTTAAAAATGAGTAAATGAATGCCCACGATAAATATTTATTGAAGCAATTATATTATGGCATCAAAGTGTCTTTCTAAAATAGTTTCATAAAGATCACCAAGTATATGATCTGTGGTCTCTAGGGATGGTTACACAACATTGTACACCATCTCTGTTGAGTAGCTTCTTTTTCCCAATGCTATGATCACCATGCTTTTTCCTGCTTATGAGAGCTGGACTGAAATCAAGAAGAAGCAACTAGAACAATTCTCAGATTGGAGCTGGTGGGCAAAGAGAGGCTCAGGCAATACCACCATATTTCAAGCTTCTAATTATTTTCATTAGAATCCATAATTTTATAATGTGGTTTTCAAAGTAACTACTAGGAGAGGGAAAAGGAGAGGGAGAGAGGGGGTGAGGAATGGGAATGTGATCGTCATTATGAAAATGTCTGTTGCAATGCTTGATGGTGTGATACTGTAGTTTATTTCTGATGCATATAATACCCACAAAGCAAACATTCTGCCCAAGATGTGTTGTTGCTTCATCTCTTTCATTCCATCCTTCTCTTATGTAGCCATCTCTCCATCTGCACTCATTAGCTGTAACTGGACAATACACACATGCACAAACATACACTCCTTATATGGTTTCCTTGGTCTTCAACATAAGGGAAGGAGAAATTGGAATTCCTAGAGATTTTCAGGAATGCAAAAAATTAAGCCATGTAAAAAGATTCTCGCCATCCTTTCTCCTCTTTACTCATTATTATAGGTATTTAAAATTTAATAATTACAAATATTAGGTGTATTGGTATTTACCAAGTACTGCAGACTGCAGAAAATACTCAAATGCTGGAAAATTCCCATGAACATTACTGGGTGGTATTTGTATAAAGAAACATTCAGATCTCCCTTTAACATTAACAGTACTGTGCAGAATCACATGTCAAAACCACCAATCTAAGGACTTATTTGCTTCCAAAATGTTGTATTTCTTGGAATATCACTCATAGGATTTGTATAAAGTTTCCTAGGCATATACACTTATGAATGTTTATTTTATTTGTGAGGATGATTCACTGTTAGCAGCAGACAGGGCCATGAACTCACACATGGAAACAGCTACCAGCAAGACTGATCCAGTTGTGACTCTTTCTCACCCAATGCTTCTTGTCCTCATTGCTGAAACATAAATTTAACCTTTGACTCTGAGTGTCATGTTTCCTGCTCTTGTTTTGCCCTCAACTAGAGTGGATTCCTCTAAACCAGTAGCCTCTCTGTGTTGCTTACTATACTTTAATTCTTGCAGGAGAGTTATAATACCTTTTCCAGTTTTCCAAATTTCCCATCTACCTTTTCTGAGAATTTGGGTTTGAAAATAAATAATTGTTTTTGAGAAATGCAGGGAAGAAATTCCCACGTGAAAACCCTACTCCCACCACTGTGGCTAACCCTTCCTTTCATGTACTGATTGAATCATAAGAAAGGAGCTGGAGAAATTCAGCATGTCAAGATACCAGCGATAAAAAGTTTAAGAAGACATGATTATTCTATATGCTGGCAAGTTGAACTCCAATAAGAAAAACTACAAAAAAAAAAAAAGAAGAAGAAGTTATTTGTAAACACTGTCATTTCAGGGAATGGAAGTGATTCTCATATTGTACTGCATGTAATGTGGTGTTTAATTTAAAAAGAAAAAGGAAAAAAAGAACTTTAATTCAGCTAAAAACTGTAGAACAAGGTAACTGGGACAGCAGCCTAGGATTTCAGCTGAAAGGACTGATCATTGCTTTAGAGCCTTCTTCCTGATAGAGTAACAGTTCATCTTCTTTTTGGGTTCCAAGTTAATTTTCTATATGATTTGTGACATTAGATAAAAATGAAAGGAGGCATGGAAACACAGTTGGAAACTTTCCTTGTGTTTGCTTTTCCAACAATGCCTCGCACAGTGTGTACATTTAATGATTCATTCTGTCCTGATGTGGCTTGGCCTGCGTGGGTTGATAAGCAACCTGCCAACCAAGGAGTTTTTTTCCTCTTCTCTAGCGTTCAGGTAGAAGCAAAGGCATTTCTAATACATTGTTAAAACCCATGACAGTTCCCAGAATAATTAACACTGTGTAGTCCTTCTCCTTATTCCCATGTGTTATCATGTAAAAAATTAAAAGCATCATGGTGTCTATATGGCTCAGTCAGTTAAGCATCTGATTTCAGCTCAGGTCATGATCTTGGGGTCTAAGGATTGAGCCCCACATGGAGCTCTGAGTCCAATGGGAAGTCTTCTTGTCCCTCTCCCTTTGCTCCTCCCCCTGCTTGTGCTTTCTTTTTCTTTTAAATAAATAAAATCTTAAAAAAAACCTAAAAACATCAAAAACAGTAGTTTCAAAGAGAAGTAACTGAAACAAAAAGTGCTAGCCTAGGAAAAATATGAAAGGTGGAGGATCATGCTCTGAGTTCTGTGTCAAAATAAATCTATATTAGCCTTGGATTCCTTTCAGAAATTATCATTTTTCTGCTTATGAGAGTAATACAGCCTCATTTTACAAAACATGGAAAAATAAATAAATTAATAAAGAAGAAACTATTATCTATAATTCTACAGATCACAGATGAGAACCATTAACTTTCTGTTGTTCTTCTGTTCATTATTCTGTACCTATATTTTTACAAAACTGGGCTCTTGTTTTTTTTTAAAGTATTTTTTAAAGCATTTTTTAAAATTTATTTATTCAGAGAGAGAGAGACTGAGAGGCAGAGACACAGGCAGAGGGAGAAGCAGGCTCCATGCAGGGAGCCTGTCGCGGGACTCGATCCTGGGTCTCCAGGATCAGACCCCGGGCTGCAGGTGGCGCTAAACCGCTGCGCCACTGGGGGTGCCCAAAGCTGGGCTCGTGTAAATGCAGTTTTATACCTAGCTCTTATCACTTACTATTATAATGATAAGTATTGTCCCTTATTATAAAACATCAATGTATATACAATGATAAGTATGTTGTAGTCATGTGTCCAACACTGGGAGTGAGATTTTAATGTCTTTTCATTTTATAAATGTCAGCCTTATAGTTTTAGTTTTTGACTTAATTTTTGGGGGTTATGATTTCAGAACAAGAATTATTGAATCAATGAAAAGGAACGTGTTTAGGGCTTTGGTATAATTAGCCCTATGGCATTTAAGAAGGTCATACCAAGTCCTGACATTAATTATAGTACTCACTGGAGGACACTCTCGCTCTTCCTGGGATTGCTAACTAAAGTCACTTTGTGGGCTGGATCCAGACCCTTTCCTGACAGGCCCCAAGCTGTTTTGGAACAGGTCATTTCTGGTTAAGAACTGTCCTTGGAGCCCTCTTTACCTCATTGTTCCGCAGGGTAAATGAGAAGGTTGGGCAGCGTGAGGTCCGCTGTGCAAAGCACAGAAGAGGCCAATTCTACAGAGGGTTGTTTGTGGTCCAGGCACAGGTCCAGGAGCAGGGAACCACCACCTGCCAGCAGGACATGCTGCGGTGGCAGGACCAGTGGCGCCACCTGCTGAGTGGGTCTGCAAACAACAACCATTCAGAAAGCACGGATAGAGGTGAGGAAGAAGAGCACAGCCCTGTGAAGGCCAGCAGTACAGATGGCTTATACAGACATCGAGCAGATGCAGCTTCCACACCACAGCATGAGTGGCTCCCTGTACGTGCTTAGTCAATGGATGCCAAGTCTGACCACTTCCTGACACCCAGGAATGAAAGACAAGGAAGAGCACCAGCAGGGATGTATGGAAGGAAGGAAATTGGTGCATTAAATATGCTCCTGTTTCGGGCACCTGGGTGGCCCAGTAGTTGAGCGTCTGCCTTTGGCTCAGGTCATGATCTTGGGGTCCTGGGATTCAGTCCTGCATCAGGCTCCCTGCACGGAGCCTGCTTCTCCCTCTGCCTATGTCTCTGCCTCTCTCTCTCTCTGTATCTCTCATGAATAAATAAGTAAAATCTTAAAAAAATACACTTCCCTTTTAATCTAAAACAATAATTAAATATATTTCTTTTAGTAAGATATATGTGTCTGTGAATAGATCTTAGCAACCTCGCCCTCATAGGAGGCAGGGCATCAGAAGGTACCAGGCTTTATTCATAGCATGCATGGGGTGGGGGTAGGGGTCTTGATAGAGCAATTGCCATGATTGAGCCGTGAACCTTTAAAGTAGGGCCAGCACGGGATCCCTGGGTGGCTCAGTGTTTTAGTGCCTGCCTTCAGCTGGGGCATGATCCTGGAGACCTGGGATCCAGTTCCACATCAGGTTCCTGCATGGAGCCTGCTTCTCCCTCTGCCTATGTCTCTGCCTCTCACTCTCTCTTCCTCTATCTATCTATCTATCTATCTCTCATGAATAAATAAATAAAAACTTTAAAAAAAAAACTGTAGGGCCAGCAGACTCGAGGTCCCGCATTGAAAGTTTTGCCTAAAATTTCCAGTCTTATTCAGAGCGCTTCAAGGAACTAAGTGCAGAATGGAGACATGGGGACAAATATGGCAAAAGAACGAGCAACTCAAAGTGTGGGAAAGTAAGTACTCTAATTCCATATTTGTTGCTCAGAGTTCATCGTCATGGCAACTGACAGCCTCCCCAGGCCCCTGGAGCTTCAACTGGCACCAGAGGCTGCTTTATGGAGGACGGCATTCCTCAGGGCACCTTTGACATCCTTGTTCCTGAGGGTGTAAATCAGCGGGTTGAGGAGGGGGGTGACGAAGGTGTAGACCAGGGCGATCTGGCGGTCCTCGTCCACCGAGGAGCTGGAGCGGGGCCGCAGGTAGACGAGGCTGCAACAGCCGTACTGCAGCAGGACCACGGTGAGGTGCGAGGAGCAGGTGGAGAAGGCCCGGCGGCGGCCCTCGGCGGAGCGGATGCGCAGGATGGCCGAGGCGATGAACACATAGGACACACAGATGAGCAGGAAGGGGACGGTCAGCACGAGGATGCCCACCACGTAGAGGACGGCCTGGTGCACGCGGATGTCGGCGCAGGCCAGCCGCAGGACCGGGGGCACATCGCACAGGAAGTGGTTGATCTCCCGGCGGTGCCCGCAGAAGGGCAGGGTGAAGATTAAGGACGTGAGCTGCAGGGAGAGGACCAGGGCCAGGCCCACCGCGCACGCCACCATCTGGGCGCACAGCTTCTGGGTCATGATGAGGGTGTAGTGCAGCGGGTGGCAGATGGCCACGTAGCGATCGTATGCCATGATTGCCAAGAGAAAGCAGTCAGTGCTGCCGAGGGTGACAAAAAAGAACATCTGGGCCCCACAGCCAGCCAGGGGGATGGGCTTCGGGCCCCCCCAAATGTTGGAAAGCATCAAAGGCACCACCACCGTGGTGTAGCAGATTTCCAGGAAGGCCAGGTTGCAGAGGAAGAAGTACATGGGGGTGCGGAGGGAGCTGTGCGTGCACACCACCCAGATGATGGCTGTGTTGCCACAGAGGATCATCAAGTAGAGGAGGAGGAAGAGGAGGAAGAGCAGGGCCTGGAATTCTGGGACGGTGGTCAACACGCGGAAGAAGAACTCAGCGGGGGCGGATTGGTTGAGGACGGCTCCTAGTGAACATGTCTCCTGCAAAGGAAGAGTGGGGAAGTGCTGAATCTCCCTCTGCCAAACTGTTTTGTTGTGGGAAGAAAAGCAGAATTGTAAATCTGATCTTTGATTTAGCATTTAGTATCTACTTTCTGATTTCAGCACTTGAGGTGATTCCCACTAGAGAGTATGGAATCTTTTTCCATGGAAATCTCCATAAATGACATAGCTACTCCTCTGTAGAACTTTCTGATGTCAAAGACGTGTAGCTATTCTTGGTGAAATGTCTTTTTTTTTTTTTTTTGCTCTGATATTTTACATCTCATCGACAAGGGCTAATTCTTTGCTTGTGTTTAATAGAAGAGTTGTGTAGTTGCAGATATTTTCAAAATTAGACAAATGGATGTATTGCTCACTTTTTTGGTAAACATTCTTATTGAAATATACAGAGAAGTTCATGAATTGTAAGGTACAGTTTTTTTTTTTTTTTTAGCATAGTAACTACACTAGTATAACCATCACCAACATGAACAAACTGAACAATTCCAGGAACCCTACAAGCATCTTTTCTTTTTTTTTTTTTTGTATATTTTTTTTTTACTGGAGTTTGATTTGCCAACATATAGCATAACATCCAGTGCTCATTCCATCAAGTGTCCCCCTCAATGCCCTTTCATCTCCTGTCTTTCTACCTCACAAAGGTGAATTATTCTTTGACTCTTGTCACTGCAGATCAGTTTCTGTTTCAATTCATATGTGTAATTATAGAGTATGTATCATATCTTAACTGGCTGCAACACTGTGTCTACAAAAGTTATTTTATACTTGGTGTTCTGAGTACCAAGACTTTGCTTTCTGTTGTTTTATAATATCCCATTTTATGGCTGGGCTATAATTTATTCATGAGTTCACTTCTCATCCAGTTATTTTGACTCATATAAAACTGGGCAAACCCTTTTTATTCCAATCCTTCCGATATACACTTTTATTTTATTTATTTATTTTTAAAAGATTTTATTTATTTGAGAGGTACAGAGATAGCAACAGAGATAGAGAGAACAGCAGCGGAGAGGAGAGGGAGAAGCAGACTCCTTGCTGTGCTGGGACCCCCCGACCCCGACCCCCAATGCAGGGCTCAATCCCAGGACCCCAGGATCTTGACCCAAGCTGAAGGCAGATGCCTAACCAACTGAGCCACCCCGGCACCCCCCAATATGCACTTTTAATATAAATCCTTTTGTTTGCTTATTTTTTTTTCTAAATTTCCAGTCATGAACCTAAACTTTTGGACTTGGACAGATGCACACAGTAGGGGACTGTAGGGACTAAGGAATAATTAAGTTGCCGGCTGCCCAAGATAAGAAAAGATAATAATGAAATGAAAAACACAATAACAGAATTGAAATAGACATAAGAACACACAGGTGAATAAGAAAAGAGCTTTAAAAGCATCTGGGAAGGGAAAAGTACCTATAGACTAAGCAACTTCAGTTCAATTGAACTCCAAAAAAAAATATACAAAAAAATAACTACAACTTTTCAATGTAATAACCCAAGAGATGATAAAGTAGTATCTATAGTTCTAAGAAAAACAAATTGGTGTGAAAGAATTCTGTACCCAGGTTTTAGTGACTTATGTTTAAAAGCAACGGACAGACTTTCTCAGACTTACAAGGGTTTAGGATGTATGCCATTCTAAATACAATGAAAACAATTCCTCAACAAAGACTCCTGATTGCTGGGGGATTAATCAGAACACATAATCCAGGACTGGAGAAGTTGTAATGTAAAAATTGGATTTGAGAAATCAAAGAGTCAAATATATATTTAACACCAAATATTTGATGCAAAAAATAGTTAAAAAATTCGGAGGATAGTTCTTGAAAATATTCGTAATGTAAAATGCAAAAATTAAAACAACCCTGCACATTTAAAACCATGAACTGTAGCATTAGAAAATTGATAGGGAAGGATGGGGGAAATAAAATAATCCTGAAATAATTTCCACAGCCTATATAAGGAAGGACTCAAGAGATATTTCATTTAGATGTGACTAAGCAGAGAAATACCTATTCAAACATATTTCTGAACAAGGATCATCAGTAGAATAAAACTCAGCATATCCATTCCAAATGATCTGATTTAAAAAGTAAAGATAGTACAGGGAACAGAAGGCTCAAACAAAGAAAATGTGAGCAAGCATATAAGATAAAATAGCTTAAATAAGAAAAGTAAATATTTAACTTCTGAAAATAAGTTTAAATGAAGTTTGTGGTCTATTAAAGATGGAATTTCATATTTATATAATCCGCCAGGTGCACATACAGTGACAAAGGAAGGCTAGCATTGCTTTAGTTTAGCGTTGTGTGTTCTGTGATCTAATCAATGGAAGGAGACAAAGTTAGGCAGGAGTTAGATTTGACTATCTAGCTGAAAACACAACAGAACCAACTGAAAAATTTGGACTAATAAAATATTCATTGGAGTGGCTAGATCCAAATGACATGTAGCAGAGGATCTCTTAACTAATAATCTTCACTGAACTGCTGTTTCAGATTAATCACACTGTTCATTACATCTATTCAACATACTAAATGATGACCATGATATACTGAATACAAGAGACCTGTTGCTATTTTACTATGTCTGAATTGCATACATGGCAGTTGGATTTTTCCCAAACCAACTTATACTACTTGTATTTGTGTTGTAATTATGTAATTTTCTCAAGTATTACAAAATCTAAGAGTTGAGTGCTTGATAATTATGAGTTGCCAAAAATTTTTGTGGAATAACATATGAGCTGGACCACAATAAAAGACTTAGAGGGAAATTTGGAATAACTTAATATTTATATTGAATGTGAGTCTAAATGTTCACTCTGTTGTTACAAAAGCTAACACTGGAATTAGTAGATAATGTCTGAGAAGGAAGGCTTTGATTTTAGGTGATACAAACTCAAAGCCCCTGGCTTTATATCAAAAGGTTGATAAATAAATGCCCATTGGAATATTTTAAGTTAAAGTAAAATGATTAAGTATGTAGTCCATGCTTTGGATCATAGGACTTTCTGTTTTCTATCAATGTTAGTTAGAAAATGCCCTTCCCTCAAACAACCACCAAAATGAATAGGTGAATAATATATAGGCCAGTGAATCAACCTAAAAACTAACAAGCAGGAACTACTTGAAGAAAACTGCTAAGCTTTGTATATATATATATATATATATATATATATATATATATATATATATATATTGCCTGTACGGAAAACCCAATATTTTGGTGTTAATTGGCTCTGAAGTAATGTGTGACTTCTATATAATTCTATCAAACTTCCTGGAAGAATGAACAAGAGAATGTTAAAAAAAAGTGCCAAAACAACAAAATTTGCATCATGAGACATTAAAACATATCACAATCATATGTTATAAAATATATCCCATGTTATATCATAAATCAAAATGGTATCTGCAGAGCACTAGAGCTCCAGCACACTAGAACAGAAAGAAGCATTGATAGTAGCCAAGTGTTCTATAGTACTCTTTGGGTCAGGCATTAATTTGGGCACTTTCCATTTCTTAATTTATTTCACAATGGTCCTCTAGAAAGGGGTTCTTACACTTGCTTTACATATGAGAAAATTAATGCACAGAGAGGGTAAATGACTTACCCAATGTCACACAGCTAGCAAGTGTTGGATTTTAACATTTAATTTAAACATGGGCTGGAAAAAACAAAACAAAACAAAACAAAACAAAGAAAAAAACATGGGCTGGCTCCAGAGTCTCTTGTCTTAATCACTGCATTATATTTCCTCTATTTTTTGCATCAGTTTTATCATCTGTAAAATGGATCTGAAAATAAATGTACCTATTTCTCAGGTTGTTGTGAGACTCGAATTATTTTGTAAAAGCACTTAGAACAGTCAAGGCATAGAGTACACAGTCAATGTATATTCACTATTGTCACTATTCAAATCGGTTAGAGAGGATCAATTTCCTAATATGGACTTAGGGCAATGAGTGAATCATTAAAAAAAAAAAAAAAGAACTCCCTAATGCGTTATGCATCAAAATTTATTTCTGGTGGACTTGAGATTCAAATATTTAAAAAACAGGAAGAAAACCACAAGATAATGTAGATGAACTTTTTTCAGACCTAAGACTACAAATGATTTGCAAGCAAATAAGCAGAATCCACAAAAATGTTGATATTTTGACAGAATAAAAATTTAAAAGATATGTGGGTCAAAAATACAATAAGCAAACTGAGTAGAAGATGAAATTTTATATAATCTGGCAAAAATAAATCCCTCATTAGAAAAAAGGAATAGAGGATCTGAATAGGCAATTCAAAAAAGAAATATGAAAACACAAATACAAACATGCAAAGTCAACCTCATTAATATTCAAATAAACATACAATGAAGCAGAATCAGATACTATTTTCTACTTACAAACTGACAGTGGGAAAAAAAAATAGTATCTGCTGTTGTTAAAGTTGCAAGGAGAGACACATCCCCAAATATTGCTAGTGGAAGTATAAGGTGCTAGAAAAATTTGTGAAGTGCAATTTGGTGATATGTAATAAAAGACTTAAAGAGATGCATATGCTTTGCTTCAGCAATATTATTTTAAGGAATTTATTCTAATAAACTAACCATGAGTCTGTGCATAAAATTATTCCACTGTTCTATATTGTGGTGAAAACTATCAACCAAAATACCAGTAATAGGAAAAACCTTAAATTAATTGTGGCCTCTCCATGTGATAGTACAAGCAATCATTTGAAAATGATGCTGCAGAAATATACTTAATAAGATGAGGATGGTTCATGAAAAGCAGGTTATAAAAAAGCATTACATCATGATTCCATTAAAAATAATGATATCTGTTCATAAAAATACAAAAGAACATTTTTGAAAATATTAATAATGGATATTGCAGAATGAGTTGGATTGCGAATCTTTTTGTTTATGACACATTTTTCTGCATTTACAAATTTTACAACGAACACGTGCAACTTGGCAAATATATAGTAAATTAGCAGGTTTCCTTTATTCATTGGTATTTCAACATGGTGTTGGGAAGGAAAGCTGGTAGGGTGTCAATCACATGGATTTTTGGACTCAATTA